CATGGGTTGTTTGTCCTACTTCACCATCATGGGCACTCATCCTGTCTTACTGCTGGCTACAAAAGCACTGAGAACAAGTCATGAGGATCCACAACGCAGTCTACGAGGCCAGGAGAAAAGCAGTGAGGCGATTCAAGTGAGTCCACAAGAATGTGATCAAGGATTTCGATTTCAAGCATGGAGACCTAGTCTTGGTTCAGCATATGCAGATTGAGAAAGCACTCAATCGAAAAATGTGACTGCGATATATAGGACCATATATTGTGTTGTTTCACAATTGGGGAGGAGCCTACATGCTCTGCAAGTTGGATGGAGCTGTACTGGACTGACCGATCACAGCATTCAGGGCGATACCATTCACAGCAAGGAAGAAATGTTGAATGCATTGGAAGCCAGATTGAAGGAGATGCATCAGTCGGACGACCAAGGAGAAGAGGAACTGGATAAAGAACAAAAAGATGAGGAGTCAGGGATGAAGACGAAGGACTGCAAGACCAGTACGACACGACGAGTCAGAATAGACAAGTATAGGGATTCAAAGTAATAATTCAATCGTATATAGGCAAGGACTCAGCTAGGGACTCAAGAGACTTAAGGACTCGAACAAGACAACACTATTTTGTGACATCTCACTTAATATTTCATTCAGGAAAGCTTGCGCAAGATTTTCGGCACCCAGGTTTATTCAAGCAAACTAACTAGTACATTGCCCTATGTGCACAGAGGGAGAGATCACGATAGAGATACGAAGAACCATGCAGACAGCCCGCTTTGAGTCAACCCAGCACATACTCATTGTGCACCAATGACATCATTACTTGTGAGCCCTCAAGGCCTGATTCTTCTTGTGAAGCTGCTGCAACAGCTCGATCATCCACTCAAGTTGTGTACTGGTTTCGGAAGGCTCAATGGTGGCTGGCGAAGAGCTAAATGGCTCTGACTTCATGGTCGCAGCTTTGAAAGAGCCCTTTGCATGAGCCTTGCCTTTTGACGAGTGCGGCTTGAGAACCTTGGTAGATGGAACGACAATGGTGCTGACGTGGGCATGTTGCATCATGATGTTATCCGGGTCGGAGTCGTTGAAGTGAGGACACTTGAGAGGCCTATTGAATCGGCTTAGCGAAGTCGTTAGCAAGAAAGTAATGATGCTGAAAGGGACGTACCACATGGCAGCGGAGGAATCACCAACTTATGATGAGAAGGCCCAGCAGTGCCCTTCTCTTGCTTGACGGTAACAATCTCAGATGTGCCTTCAGCGTCGGACTCAGCATTGGGCTCAGGTGTGTCGGGCAAGGTATGGACCGGACCTGGAGGGAGGTCAGTTAGCCAGGAACGAAACTGAAAGAGGGGAGGCCTATGAAGGTGTGGGGCCAGGGCAATCACAGTTTCATATTCATCAATTGGTGTGTCCAGCGGGAGCTCGAGCTTCATGGCATAATCGCTGCTGGCAGTGTTTGCATCGCGCATCTGCTCATCATAGTCACCCTGGTGACTGGAAGCCTTCATAATCACCTTAGCATCTGGCATCTTGGGCAGTGGCCAGTCCTTCTGATGGTACAGCTTCTTTAGTGAAAGCCATCCATCGGCATCATCAATGTTAGGGACCGTATCACTCATCCATCACTTGCAGGCCATGTGGTCATGGTGACACTTGCAGCATTTAGGACGGAACTCACTTAATGTGCAAGTGCGAGACACCTTGTCAGAAGGAAGGCAGTAGCGACACTAGGAAGAGGAATTAGCAATGGAAAAGTGTGGGCCAGGCAAGCACTTACCAAACAAGCAATAGACAGCTTCTGCCAAGCCAGGAGATACTCTGGAGGAAGGGAGCGATCACAAAAGGTGTGCACAGGCATGCGCACATACTGGTCCTCCGAGTTCGTAGTCATTTTGGAAGCCTTGGTGGACTTGCGACTGTGACCCTTGCCCTTCTTCGAATGCACTGGTGAGAGGTTTAGAAGGTTTCTGCTCATGAACTCGACCTCATCACTATCGCTATCATCCTCATCATTGCTGGAGACCTCAATAACCTCAGAGCCTTGTGCAGAAGGTGATTCAGCAACCACAGTAGCAAGTGGAGGATCAACTTTCATAGCCACAGCATCAGAGTCAGAAGGAGGGTTGATAGCAACTGGGTTTGTTGCACAGGCCTGGAACTCAAACTTTGGGACAGGAATACCAATAGCAGCAGGAGCCATGACAGGTGCAGCTACTACAGAAGAAGAGGCCAGAGCAACAGAGAGAAAAGCATCATCAGTGCTGGTGGAAGCAGTCAGAGAGTCAGAGGCCATGACCTTCCCAGTATCAGAAGGCATGTAAGCAGAAGCCTCAGTCACCGGAGGGGGGCTCAGATCCTAGGAGAGTCGAAGGATCATGTTAGCAAAAGATAATGGATCACAGTCTGGTGCATGCACCTTGCTCGCTGAAAAGGCAGCAGCTCGCTCGGGCAAGATCAACTCCTCGCACCACAAAAGCCACGATGGCTGTACAAAGGCATCGAGATGTGCTTGGGCCTTGTGGCAAAACTGGGTGTAGCGTGTTTGTGACACCACATCCGAGAAGGTGCAAAGATCATGCTAGAAAGGAAGAGAGTTATCCAGTTGCGAGTACAACAACGTGGTCACTTACCAGGGCAGAAAGGAGCTCACGTATGAGAAACTCGAAGTCCATGGCCAGGTCGAGGGGCTCTGCCTCATGCAATGCCTTCCAAGCAGAATAAACGATACCCATGACGGCATCCTTTGGGTCCGCTGCCTATGTGTCAAGGACAGAAGTTAGCAATGCAAAAAGCCAAAGGTAGGAAGACAGGTGCACCTTGTGAGGAGAGGTGACCAGAGTTGCAGGATGCTGAGATGATGAAGGCATAGTGGGGTGATCCATCATCGAGCTGAAAGAATGAGGTAGAGGGAGAGGGGAGTTAGGTGCCATCGGACACTGAAGACAATTTTGAACTAGCCATGCTCGGACATGCAAACACATCATTAAAACCTCATGGTATCATCCTCTACCATGTGGTAGAGCCAGTTGGCTTTCTCAGGGAGCCAGTTCAAGTGACTCAGATGGAACTTCTTATGTGGGACCGAAATCAAGCCAACTCCGATTGAGGCTACCGAAACAATGGTTTCACAGCATGAAGTCAGAGATGAACACAGTCAGACTACTGTACATGAGAAAGCGAAGTACATGAAGGACAAATCGAGATGATTCTAGGCTACGTGGCTTTTCCATTCGCAGCCAGGAAGGTCTTCAAGAACTGGAGATGATCACTAATGCGGGTCGCCTCCACAACCAGTCATGCACGCTCCTGAGTATAGATCTTGATCAATAGGGCATTGGGAATGGCCAGCCCACGAACCTCACTAAGAATCCTCTTGGTCTCTGCAAGCGATTTGGCATCTGCAATCGTGAAAGGAATAAAGTCAGTATTGCAGCCTTTGTGATCAAGAAGACGAAAAGCTTACTAGAGGGAGGCTAGACAAATGAGCACTTGAGGTGCGACACTCAGCAGTGAATGCAAGCCTGCTCACTGTGGTCAGAAGGAATGATCATGCAGTCCCTGTCCACCAAGCACTTGAAGCACTGGTGGCCAGAATGTAAGCAACGAGCTGAATATGAAGAAAGCGACCAGGCGCACCTTGGTATGCGGCCATGGCTTGCCGAAGTTCAGAAATGCGATCTGCACACACTTTGGGAGAGCGTGGATGGCGATGTAGTACTCATGCAGTGTATCTGACTCAGAAGACTTGATGGTGACCATGGACGACATCGTACTCATGACAGATGCAGAACGCAACTGCACCCTCGGAGTTGCTGCAACAACTTCAGGTTCATGCTTGACCACATCCTGAAGAATTTCTGCCATAGCAAGAGACATGGCAGAAGGAGGAGGAACATGTCAGCTATCATAGTTTATCCACCAGCAGCCAATCGGAATGGTCTGCCCAGGGAATGTACGGTCGTGCCGATGCATGAAAATGTTGTTCACCGTGTATGCCATTAAAAAGTGATCACAAATATGGTTGTGACCTTCAGGGAACTTGGTAAAATTGTCACAGTCTGCAGCCTTGATGATCTCTTGCATAATCTCAGTCATCGCAGCAGGAGAACATATTGGGGCAGCGGTCCCAACAGCATTGGAATAACCTCTCAGGGAGGAAGGGACCAGTGCTGGGATCCAATCGAAGTCAGGGCTCGTGTTCAGCATGAGCCAGTCATACACTGAATTGACCTCATGCAGCAAACTCTTGGCACAGTCTGGATAGTCACAGGTCATGCGTAACTGGAAGGCCGCAGCATTGACTGGCAGAAGGCAGATCGCAACACAGAATACTCACCTCATAAGTGAAAAATGACATGGCCCAGCCCTGCCAGACCAAGGCATGAGCATCAGGAGTGGGTGATGTGAACACAAGATTATCCAGGTGCTGCAGTAGTGAATTGCAAGCACCGTCAATGGGGTAGACACTGTGAGCTCAAGCAGTGAGGCTGAAGACACCGTCGACATGGGACATAGCAGTGAAGGACTGGGGAACTGACAGCGAGGGCATGCTATCTAAAGTACACAAGCCCGATGGACAGAGGATGATCCAAATCTCAGAATGGGGGAGGTGATATGCACCGAGATATTCTGTGATCAGAAAAACACCAGAAACTGTGTCCGACTATCACACAATCGGATAGCAGGTCATTGCAATTCGAAAAGACAAACACTGAGCCAAAACAGTCCAGAGTGGGTGAAGAAGACTTTACTGACAGCCTGAGGAAACAGAACTGTGTGAAGGGGTCAGAAGGTGAAACATGAGGTGTGGAAATGATGAGCAAGCCATGAGAAAGCATAGCCGATTACGAGGTGCAGTGCGAGAAGTGGAACATGACCAATTAGGCAACTCAAAAATGAGCAAGTGTGCTAATGGAACAGAAGATAGGGTAGTGGACTGATGGGCCCTGACAGGGCCGGACTTCCAGTTCCCTGACTGTATGATATAGAGAAAGAACAGGGATGAGCTTTGCGACAGGTTTTTCAATGGATCGGAAACACAATGTATGATCAGAAACATGTTTCAGCAACTCAGCTGGCTCATTTCTGATCCACTATATAATCTACACTATACATACACGGCAGACATGATGTGATTTATCGATGTGGGAAATTATGTGTGAATGTTGACTGATTTCTTACATATGTGACAAATATTTGCAACCATGGCATTTCATGTTGAAAATGTTTCACATTGGCTGTGAATGTGCACTATTTGCCAGTTAAATGCTAAATTGGCAAAGCTTTGCCAAAAATGTAAGACATCAGCTGACATTCCCACACAATTTTCTACATTTATAAATCGCATCATGTCTGCCGTGATAGGAATAATAAGAGAGTTTTACATGGAGTTTCCCCACGCAGCAGTGCCCAGTTCCCATCTTGTCTATGCTAGGGCATCATGCCCGACTACGTCTACATCTATTGCAATCACATTCTACATCTCTGGGATTCTCGACACCGAGAGAGGCAGCACTCTCAGCAGTGGCCTCTAGCTCAACTCAGGTTTCAGCCAGATAAGTCATGTTATCATGTTTTCGTATCTCACGCCATCGCATTTTGCTCACACGCCACCAGTCACGAGTCTCAAACCAGGATTCCATCTCCATTGGATCCCGTAGCCTGGCTAGCACTCAGGAGTTCATTGTCGGTGCTCGTTCCCATTCAGAGACATCCAGGGGTTCATTATTGACGCTTGTTCCAGTCAGAAGTGCTCAGGGCTTCATCGTCGGCACTTATCCCAGCTTGGAGACAGTTAGGGGTTGCTCGTCAGTGCTTGACCAGCACTTTCCAGATATAGAAGGTTCTTGTGCCCCAGCCCAGACCTTCAGCCACCACAGTTCACGAGTACGGAAGTCACCAATCGCATTCTACACCCACACACCCCCACATTCCAGCTTTCGACTGTTTCCCAGTTGGAGGCATCCATACAGTTGAGTCCGACACTCACCGATCCAGAACCTTTGACAATCTGACTGCGTTTCAAGCATCACAGCTGAACGACTCACGGCCACCCATCACTGCGTTATCATCTGAAGTTTCCTGTAACCATAGCCCAAAGGTACTGCAGACAGACAGAGCCCCAGTTTGCATTCCACCAGTAGGGGTTTGGTTATGAGCACTGCTCACGGCCAGGACGCGGTTGAGCATATCATTTCTGGAGCCCACTGCGAGGGGTGGAGAGGATTTAAAGTTTCACAGCACCGAGTTGTCAGCCTTATGATCAGAGACCGAAGAAGAAGTTTGGTATCCCCTTGAAACAGAGTCGGGATTACCACAATAGGTGAAACATCGGATGAAGAAGTCTTCTCGTCATTCAATCAAAGACTCAGGTGACTACACGAGTTTCAGAGGGCCAGATTCGAGCGAGCAAAAGAAGGCTGACCACACTTAGCCAATTTTCGACCATCTCCGTTATTCGAAACACATTCCTCAGCTTCACAATTGACATCACCAGCTTCTAGAATCCCCAGCCCACTTAGTTTGCTTACCATGCTATCACACCATTCGTCCGAGTCTTCTACAGTAAAAGCACAGTCGGAACACATCTCTGAGGCTTCGTCGCAAGAAGTTTCACTTAGGACCCTTCTAGATGAGCTAGAAACAGCCCTCGCAGCCGAACAAGTGTCAAATTCAGTCCAGAACCCTACTCAAACACTTAATTTCCTGACCACCACAGCCACAGTCATGATGGGAACAGTAATAACCAATCAAATGCCGTTCTGTGGCGATCGATCGGCACCTACCTTTGATCCCGATCAGCCAAGAACTCTCTTTTGCTTCTTCGATGACCTAAAAATCCTATTTACGTGTTGCCAAGTAAACACTGAAGCGAAAAAGAAGCTATGGGTGAAACATTACCTCAATATAGATGTCGCTGACCTCGTTGAGTCACTTCCAGAATATACAGATCGAACGAAGACCTATGTCGATCTGCGACAAGCAATCCAAGAGCTGTATCCAGGTGCAGATACAGAGCGCAAATGGAAAATGCGAGACATGGATCTCTTAGTCAGAGAGTGAGCCCGACTGGGAATTCAGACCATCGCAGAACTAGGGAACTATCATCAAGAGTTCCTAGCTATCACCTCATTTTTCATTGGCAAGACTCGCATTTTGGAGTCAGAATGCAATCGCGCATTCGTTCAAGGATTTTCGCCTGAGCTATGGAATCAGATTTCGCAGCGCCTACAGTTGAAGCAGCCAGACCATTATTCAGATGATCTCTACTTAGTAAACGACATCTATGAGGCAGCAAAGTTCATGTTGCACGGCACTAGCACAGGGCCGACCACAGTAAAGCTGACTACAACTACTTCAACTAGCAGTGCACCAGCAATCAAGAGTGAAGATATCTCATTGCTTATTGAAAGCTTGGTCAAGTCAGTTCAGACACTCACAGCAGCTGTGACTGGAGGAGTTGTGAAGCAGAATGGGAGTCAAACTGCGACTGCGAGCAGACCACCAGTCACAAATGAAAATCTGAGTGGATTTTGCCACTATTGTGGAGAAGCCGGAGGCATAATCGGAACATGAAAGCATGTCGAGGAGGACATTAAGAGTGGCAAGTGCATGTGCAATGCAGCTGAAAAAGTTGTCCTTCCAAATGGCACCTTCATCCCTCGCACAATTCCAGGCATCACGATTCATGATCAGATTTATGAGTGGCACAGATGGAACCAGACTCCAATCATGGCATTGGTCTCAGCAGCAAATCTATTTGAGGTCTCGGAAGACAAAGCCAGCTCATTCTCGCTAGGCACAGAAGATAGGATTGAAGCTCTGAAGCAAGAGTTGTTCAATCTGAAGTGATCATGACCAGTCTTTG